CCCAGTGTTGTATTTGGCCTCTCCAAGTATGCTCTTGCTTCATTTCAGTCCCTCACATTTTAAAAACAATAATGATTTAGTTTTATTGGAAAGGAAGACTTACAGAGAATAGAGACAAAATGTGTGTTCTTTTAAATGTTTATGAAATTTCCAGCATAAAAGTTAAATTGCAGGGCCTGGCGCAGTGGCGCAAGTGGTTAAAAGGTCCTCGCCTTGCACGCCCGGGATCCCATCTGGGCGCCGGTTCTAATCCCGGCAGCCCCGCTTCCCTTCCAGCTCCCTGCCTGTGGCCTGGGAAAGCAGTGGAGGACAGCCCAAAGCTTTGGGACCCTGCACCCGTGTGGGAGACCCGGAAGAGGCTCCTGGTTTTGGATCGGCATAGTATCGGCCCATTGCGCTCACTTGGGGAGTGAATCATCGGACGGAAGATCTTCCTCCCTGTCTCTCCTCTCTGTACATCCCGCCTTTCCAATAAAAAATAATTAAATATATATATATATATATAATAAAAAAAAAAGTTAAATTGCAGCGCCTGGCGCAGTAGCCTAGTGATTCTCCTTGCACTCGCTGGGATCCCATATGGGCACCAGTTCTAATTCTGGCAGCCCTGCTTCCTATCCAGCTCCCTAATTGTGGCTTGGGAAAGCAGTCGAGGATGGCCCAAAGTCTTGGGAACCTGCACCTGAGCAGGAGACCTGAATGAAGCTCTTGGTTCCTGTCTTCGGACTGGCTCAGCTCCAGCTGTTTTGGCCACTTGGGGAGTGAATCAGCAGACAGAAGATCTTCCTCTCTGTCTCTCCTTCTCTGTGTATATCTGACTTTGCAATAAAAATAAAGAAAATCTACCCCCCCATGAAATTATGATTAGTTTTTATTATCTCTGCCTTTTAAAGGCTCTTACTTATTTGAAAGACATACAGATCTGATGTAGTAGAACTCAGATGTTCACAATGACTCCAGGCAAGCACTGACACTGAACACTCAATCTAGATCTCCGACACGATGGCAGTGACTCAGTTACTGAGCCATCACCTGCTGCCTCCCAGACTCGGGACCAAAATTAGAGCTTGAACCAGGTCTCTGTAATATGGGATATGGACATGCCATGTGACATCTGAACTGTTAACCTGTCTGGCTGGTAACATGCAATGGTGGATCTATTGTGGCACAGAGGGTTAAGCTGCTATTTGCATCATGGGTGTACCATCTTTAAAATGCCACCTCCAAGTCCTGGCTGTTCTATTTCTGATCATCTTCCTCATAGTGTACCCTCTAGGATAATTTTGGATTGGATGAGTTTCATCTGTTTCTCATTTCTTCAAAAAATATTTACCCACACTTGGAAGTAAAAAAGAAAATGTATTCCTGAATGAAAAATATTTTTAAAATGTGTTATTCCAAACTTGTGAAATTTAGATAAGCCAGCTTAGATTTTTTTCCCCCTTATGTATGGGGCAGTTGTTCCCTCAACTTTCTTGTAACTTCTCCATGTAAGAGGAAGCTTTACCATAAAAAAAATTGATTTATCTTTATTTGAAAGGTGAGAGAATGAATATGAATGAGTGAATGAGAATGAATTTTTTTTTTCCAAATTTTTTTTTTTGACAATCTTTATATAGTTAATTTGGGTAGAAAGGGTCAAGGGCTACAGGAAAGTGGGTAAGACTATTATTTCCATATTGTTTCCTTCATGTATCTGAGGTAAAGGGGGATATTGAGGGAGAAACCCCACCCAGTTTCCCACCTACCCCGAGAATGAATCTTCATCTGCTGGTTTTACTCCCCAAATGGCCTCAAGCTGGGGTGGGCAAGTCCAATGCCAGGAGCTAGGAGTTTCTGAGTCTCCCATGTGGGTGCAAGGGTCCAGATGCTTGGGCCGTCCATTGGTGCTTTCCAGTTGCATTAGCTGGGAGTACGATTGGACGTGGAGCAGCCGGGACTTAACCAGTGCCTCTTTGGGATTCTGGCACCATGTGAGGTGGTCTTACTTGCTATGCCATAGTGCCAGGTGCAGTTTCTTTGTTTTTATTTGCATTAGAGAAATTATTTTCATCAACAATCTCAAGCTGCCAAGCTTTATTGTACACCATGTTGTATATGATGAAGCAGTAGTAAATTTGAGACTTAATACAGGACGGATATTGTTATAAGACTGTAACATGTATTATATCATAATCTGCGCAATGAGTTTATGAGGTAGATTTTATTGTCGTTTTTGAGAAGGTGAAATACTAGTGAATAACTCAAGGTGACTCAGCTTTTAAAAGGTAGAACTGGGATTTGAACTGAGTACTTCTGTACTCTTAAACATCATGTTATTACAGGAATATGTATAATAACTGTGTGTGATCCCTTCTCATCAGTGCAGAAATAGTTGATAGCCTACGTGTTATTTCTTGTTTATACTTAAGCTTTTCCTGAGTGTTCTGTTCTTAGGTACCCTTTGAGGGTTGAGTTCGTTGACTGATTTTGTGAAAATAGCAGTCATTGTTTCTGAATATCCTTGTTATCTTTTAATAGATATAAGAAAATATTAGTAAACCTATCACTTCATTCTTTAAACATTTTTTTTTTCTTAGCATTTTAAACCAGTATGAATTACTATTAGTTTTTAGGAAAGTGATTGACATTGTTAAAACACACAGGTTAAGTACCCTTTATCCAAAATGCTAAGGTCCAGAAGGGTTGAGGTTTCAGAGTTTTTCCAATTTTGGCATGTTTGTAGACTTTACTATCTTAAATATCCAAAAGCCTCTGATCTGAAACTTTAAAATGATGAATTTGGGCTTGACATCTGGTGGCTAAACATAGTGGCTAAAGTCCTCACCTTGAAGTGCCAGGATCCCATATGTGCACTGGTTTGTGTCCCAGCGGCTGCGCTTCACAACTGGCTCCCTGCTTGTTACCTAGTGAAGCAAAAGAGGATGACTCAAACAAAGCCTTGAGATCCTGCACCACGGTGGGAGTTCAGAGGGTGGTTCCTGGCTCCTGGCTCCTGGCTCCTGGCTTTGCATTGGCTCAGCTCCGGCCATTGTGGACCACATGGGGAGTAAACCAGTGGATGGAAGAGGTTTCTCTCTGTCTGTGCTTCTCTCTGTAAATTTGACTTTCCAGTAGAAATTAATAAGTCTTTTAAAAAAATGATGAGGGTAATATTTTAATAGTGAATTCTGTACTTGATCTCATGTGACAGATTATAATCAAAACTCAGGCATATAATAAAGTAAGATATTCTGTAGATGCACGAAGCAAATGAATTTCGTGTTTGAACTTGGGTCCTGTCACCAACATGTTTCATTATGTATTGCAAATCTTTCAGAGTTCAGAAAAATCTATAATCTGATATTTTACTGGTCCCAAATATTTTGGGTGAGGAATATTCAACTTATATGATGTACAAATCTTTTTTATCTTTGATAATACTCTTTTTTTCTTTTAAAGATGTGTTTATTTTTATTACAAAGTCAGATACACAGAGAGGATGAGGGACAGAGAGGAAGATCTTCTGTCCAATGATTCACTCTCCAAGTGAGCGCAGCAGCCTGTACTGCACTGATTTGAAGCTGGGAACCAGGAACCTCTTCCAGGTCTCCCACACGGGTGCAGGGTCCTCAAGCTTTGGGCTGTCCTTGACTGCTTTCCCAGGCCACAAGCAGGGAGCTGGACAGGAAGTGGAGCTGCCAGAATTAGAACTGGCACCCACATGGGATCCCGGCGAGTTTAAGGTGAGGACATTAGCTACTAGGCCATGCCGCTGGGCCTGATAATGCTCTTTAACTTTAAAGTCTACATTTCTGATAATACTTCAGCTATCCTGGCTTTCTATTCATTTATATTTGCCTGGTGTATTTTATGATAGACTTTAAAATATTTTGTGTTCTCTTATTTATGTTTTTACTAGATCTCTTCTGAATTTAGTTTTTAGCCTGGATTTCTGAATTTAATTTAGCTTAATCAGAATAATTTTCTGCCTTTTGTTTGAACTTTCCATTTATTACTAGATTTAATATTTTTTTTCGCTCATTTCTATCATCTTACTATGTGTTTTTTGTTCATCCTTCCTGATTTCTGTTTCCTGGTTTCTCAGTTGGTTTGAACAGCTTTGCTTTATTGTTTTTTTCTTTACCAGCTGATTGTTTTTCAAGATTTTATGTTCATCATTGACTTGGCAAAGTCTAATATTAAAATTAAAATGTGTACATTCCATTCATTTGAGCTATTAAGAGACCTTAGAAAACTCAGTCTGGTCACTACCAATCTTGTATGCCTTCTTTCATCCTTCCTTCCTTTCTTCTGAGTTTCTCTTCCTGTCTCTCTTTTTAAAATATTCACACATTTATTTAAAAGCCATAATGGTAGAGGAAAGGAGAAATAGCTCTTCTGCTCACTGGTTCACTTCCTGGGTGAACAGCCCAGGGCTCCCAGTCTCCCAAACACTTGGGTCATATTCTTCTGCTTTTCTGAAACTATTAGCAAGGAGCTTGATTGGAAGTAGAACAACTAGAACATCCCAAATGGGATGCCAACGGCACAGGTGGTGGCTTTGCCCACTACACCACAATGCCAACTTCATGTGCATATGAAAAACAGTGTTTTATTTCCATTTTTATAAAATATTTATTTGCAAGGCAAAGTAAAGAGAAAGTGTGAGACAGAAAATGAGACCACCCATTCTCTGGTTCATTTCCCAGATATGTGCAACAGCTGGAGCTTAGTCATGTTGAGTTAGGGGCCTGAAACTCCTTTAAGGTCTGCTGCATAGCTGGCAGGCACCCACATACTTGGGCCACCCTCTGTTGTGTACCAGGTCTGTTAGCAGGAAGCTGGATTGGATGCACAGGGCAGCTGGGAGTTAAACCAGCCACTTGATATGGGATCTGTTTCTATTTTCCAATCCCCTAAACTAGTCTTATTTAATCGTTAAACGCTTGTTTTCTAGTACTCCACAAATGGATTGTGAACTCCTTATTTAAACTGATTTTCTCATTATTCTTCCTCAGACTTTCAAAAGAAACAACCAGATGATGATTCCGCTCCAAGTACAAGTAACAGCCAATCAGATTTGTTTCCTGAAGAGACCACAAGTGACAACAATAATACCTCGATAACTACACCAACTCTTAGTCCCAACCAGCAGCCGCTTCCGACAGAACTGAATGTACCTTCACCGAATAAAGAGGAATGTAAGTGTCCAGATTCTTAGAGGCAGTGGTAGGAGTAGCCCAAGGACTGTATCCTGAGTTTCCTGGTAATCTGTAATCATAGAAAAACAACCACAGTTTTTAGGAATGACCCCAGATATAGCAAGATGGAGAACAGCATAGATTTTTTTTTTTTAATTTTATTTATTTATTTTTTTATTTTGTCAATCTTTACATAATTTGGGCAAAAAGGGTCAAGGGCTACAGGAAAGTGGGTAAGACTATTATTTCCATATTGTTTCCTTCATGTATCTGAGGTAAAGGGGGATATTGAGGGAGAAGCCCCACCCGGTTTCCCACCCACCCCAAGTCCCGCATGTGGGGCATGCTCCGAGATGCTCGTTGAAGTGATTTCAGTAGGTCACCAGTTTTGAAATTGCTGCCAATCTTGCCTCTCCAAACACGATAAGGTTGTTGAAAAATCCATTAATTGACATTGTCCATCATAGCGCCTCTATTTGCCCGGTATTTTGTTGCCAACCTATAGCTGAGATGGTTGATTAACGTGTTCCATCTTCTGTCCCTTCATGGTTTGGGTTCTGAGTCTGGCATTTTAATTGGGGAGATCTCCAAAGAAACTTCGTCTGAGGTGTTCCCAGGCCAGATACTTGTATGCACCAGCAAGCACAGGGCCCCGGCACAGTCCATCACCCAGTCAGCTGGTGGTTGCAATTGCTGGGTTAGTTCTGTTTTCAGCCCCTCCTTCTACTGGGACCAGTGGGTGTTGCAGTCCAGCTTGGTTCTGCACAGCACATACTCGGTCTTCACTGAAACCAGTGGGAGCTGCATCCTGATGAGAGCGGCCCACAGTAACCCCCACCAGGCCCACCCCCTACCCTGGTTTGCCAATATGTGTGGCAGACCAGCAGCATAGATTATTTGAAAGGAATTGAAGATGGCTTTTATTACAGTCTTTAGCTTCTCCAGTGATGGAATCCTATTAGGTATGTGATAGGAAGGTTCATTGTCCACTTTGTGTCTCAACTAGAAAAATTTGTTCTGTGTCACAACTATATCAGCTTGTGTTCCTTGAAAAATACAGGGAAATTATGGCCTGGAAGGTTCTGCTTCTCAAAAGCTTTACTTAAATAGGCTTCAATTTAATGTTATATATTTAATGAAAACCCAGAAATGTGGTAGGTTAGGCTATTTGGCTATTCTGTTAACTTGGGAAATTTAGCAGAGAAAAATATTTATTTAAATCTGTCATGTACTGCTGTACTTGGTAATACTGTAAATATAAACAAGGTCACAATCCTGGTCCTCTAAAAATGCTGTTAACAGGGTAAATTAAGCTCTAGTCCATCAGTGAATTTTAACCAGTAGTAATCCCTCTTCTATCCCTGAACATTGATTGTACTTGGACACCATGAATGATGAGTGTCCTGTATTATGTAGAATATCACTCCACTGCAGATATTCAGCTTGATGTCTGGGGAAGGCTGAATTTGAGAAATCATCAGCATGTTGTATGCACTCATGTTGTAGTCCTTATGTATTAAAGACAGTGAGTGTTGAAAAAGGGCAATACTTGAGGAAGAAGTACTATGGATGAATAGAAAGTGGTGAAGACATTCTTAGCCCAGTGGAAAGAGCAGTAGAAGAAAGCTGCATGCAGTTCATCGAGGCAAGTTACTCCTTTAGGGCCACTTCCGGAGAAGAGTAAGGGACAAAGCCAGAAAGGTAAACTATGGCCAAGCTATGAAGGCCTTAATGCCTGCCTGTTTGGACTTTGAATGGTAGCCATGTTTCTGAGCAAAGGAAGTGATAGTACCAGTTCTTTTGGTGCAGTAACCTGGCAGTATTGAAAACAAGAGGAATTATACTGGAATAACTTGCAGAGATAATTTTTTGAAATATTATAACTTACTCAGTAGAGGTCAGGACAGGTGTGGAAAGCCATTTAAAAGTGAAAATGGCAGTAATAATATTAAAGGCAGTAATTTTTCTTTTTTAAAAATCTGTTTGCAGCTATACATTTATAGGATGCTGGTAAAAGCTATTTTCCTTTATGGTATTAGAAAAATACATAACATCTATTTTATATTCAGTTTTACAAAAACACTTCACCAAGGTTCATTATGTCCTTTAGGTTAAATACTCCTAAGAAAAGAATAGGAGGTGGTCACCTGATAGAGCCTGGGTTAGAACCACATATACCAGGGTCAGGCCACAGAAAACAGTTCAGTCCCAAAATGCATGCCAGCTTGAGAAATATTAGCTGCCATTTATTGAGCATTTTATGTGTACATTATATGTACATGTGTATTTGCGCATTATTATTCATTTAAAAGATATGTATCATTGGTGCGGCAAATTAAGTGACTATTTGGGATGCCTGTAGCTGTGTTTCTTTCTTTTTTTTTTAAGATTTATTTATTTATTGGAAAGTCAGATATACAGAGAGGAGGAGAGACAGAGAGGAAGATCTTCCGTCCAATGATTTACTCCACAAGTTAGCGCAACGGCCGATGCTGTGCCGATCTGAAGCCAGGATCCAGGAACCTCTTCCCAGTATCCCACATGGGTGCAGGGTCCCAAGGCTTTGGGCAGTCCTTGACTGCTTTTCCAGGCCACAGGCAGGGAACTGGATGGAAGTGGAGCTGCCAGAATTAGAACTGGTGCCCATATGGGATCCCGGTGTGTTCAAGGCAAGGACTTTAGCCACTAGGCTATGCCGCTGGGCCCGTAGCTGTGTTTTTTGACCCAACTGTTGAAGAAAAAGGATTTTGTTAGGTTGTGGTTGGAGCACTGCAGTCAGTTCTTGCCTTCTTATTCTCAAGTGACAAACAGGTTGCTCCTTACTCTTATGTCAGTCTTGTCTTACAGACTTTGCAGAAGAGAAGGAGCCGCCTTTGTCTTTTCTCTGTGTCAGCTTTCTTGTGCTTTAAAGGCCTGGATATCTCTACTTGGGACCTGTTGGACACTTTACAGTGTGCATACCTGTGTTCATATCTTTGCTCCTCCAACCTCTACCCCAAGTCCCGCTAACCTGGAGGATAGGCATATGGGTGTTGGAGGGACATTAGCTGGTCTGTTTCTAGGCAGGAGAGGAAGAGAAATGATGTCTGATACTGGAGAAGATTAATGGCAAGAAATTGGCTGGTTTTCAAATATTCTGACATTCTAATCTAATAGTTACAGAAGATACATCTAATACAGAGTGATCTTCTAAGTTCTTTGGAGGCACGTATTAATTAAATAGCAACCTTCATTTACATAAATGATAGATTACAGTAGAGTTTGGCAAGCTATAGCTTCACCAAATTTCACACATCTTCCTATTTTTATGACATATACAAGCTAAGAATGATTTTTGTATTTATTTTAAATTTATTTTGGATGATTTTATATAGTTGATTAGGGTGTGAAGAATGAAGGGCTGGAGGAGAGTGGGTGAGACCATTTGTTTCCACATCTTCTTTTTTCTTTCCTGTGTCTGGGGCAAGGGAGGAAGTAAGGGGAGAAGCCATACCCAGCCTCCCAACCATCCCAGGGTTCCTAATGTGGGGCATGCTCCAAGGGTCTTGCTCACGTGATTTTGGTAGTTCAACAGTTCTGAATTGCTGTTGATCTCACTAGTCCAATCATGATGGAATCTCTCCAGAATCCACTGCTGATATAATCCACCTTAGCATCTCCACTTCCCCAGATATTCACTGCCAAAGCTTGGCTGGGGTAGTTTATCAATTGTTCTGGCCACCTTGTGGTACCAGGTGTCCTCTGCAGCCTCCAATGTACCACCCTATCCTCCATGTGCATCTAGATATGCTGTCCACTGCTCTGTCTAAGCCACTGAGGAGGCCCAGTTCTGACACATGCAGTCTATGGTCAGATCATGGAACCTATAATTCTCTCTATGGTTGGAATTCTGAGTCCAGCAGTTTAGTTGGGTGGATTCCCAAAGAAACATCATCTTAGGTAATCCCAAACCTGATCCATGTGTGTGCTTACCAGTATGAGGTCTGGTTCAGTCCCTCATCCACATCCACATCAGCGCGCGTGCGCACACACACACACACACACACACACACACACACACACACACACACACACACACACACACACGGTTGCAGTTGCTGGGTCAGTTGCACCTCCATCCCTGTCTTCCATGCAAACCAATGGTTTTGCAGCCCAGCTTGATCCTGCCCACCACACACTCAGCCTTCATATAAACTAGTGGGAGCTGCAGCCTAGTTGGAGCAATCCCTGATAACCCTGACCAGGTATGCCCCCACCTTGGTTTCTGTGCTTGCCTGTATGCACAGCCGACTAGTCAGTTCCACTCTTGTACATGTCATTGGACACTGAAGCCTAGTTCAGCCCAACCAGCCTCATTATCCAGCCCACACTGGTGCCAGCAGGTGCCACTCTCTTAACCATGCCTGCCCCTAGTCCTGGTTCCCATGTCCACCAGTGAGAGTGGCAACCGAAGAGGGAAGTATCCACTGTTTCCCTAAGTGTTCACTCCCACTCCCAGTCTTGCACCCTAGAGGTGGTTCTGCAGATGAACTTGACTGAATTTGCTCCCCCCCCCCAACCTCCTGAGCCAGTATCTGCCAGCTGATCTGTGGCAAAGCCCAACCAACCCACACCCACTCTGGCTTAGGCATGATCGAGTAAGTACAGTCAACCCAGCCTGCTTTCCCCTGATCCAGCTCACATGAGGCAAACAGGTATTGTAGCCATGCCCAGCTTGGTCTGCCCGCAGCCCAGCTCTCGTGCTCACCAGTGGGAGTGGTTATCCAGCACGATAGCCCACCTCAGTCCCCCTATCAGGTTCACCCCCGCTGCCCGTGGGTCTCATGTGTACTGGTTGGATGCTGTAGCCCAATCTGGCATGGCCAGCCTCACCTTGGCATTTGCCAGTGGATGCTGTAACCTGGCTGGGCCTGGCCCACCCCATTTCCAGCTCATGCTGGTGGGGGCTAAAGCCTAGAGCAGCACATCCCTTCTGGCCTCCTGTCCTGAACCTAATGTGA